TGGGAAGGTCGAGATTTATTTCGCGGCAAACCCTAAGAGGCCCAAAAGGATCAACCTTCAGAAATAGCTGCATTTGTATTGACATTGTAACCACGTCAAGAACGGCCATCTTAGGCGGTAAATTTATTATATTATAAGTTTATAAAATAACACTTATTCACAATAAGAGCTCAGATTAGAACTTGTAAATTAAATATTGGAAATGCGAAAGTAATAGCCCTCATCCAATATGAATCGATCAAAACGAAACAGGACTCGCATGGCAGCCTGGATCGATATCACGCCGTCAATATTTTATTACTACACAAACTGACACCTGTTAGCGTCATGGCGTATCACGAATCACAGATCAAAACGGTCTATTAAATTTTTAATGGCGCTTACGGTTCTGTTTCTATTAAAAATAGATTTTCAACACTACATAAGTTGAGATCCTAAATAATTTACTCCACTTTTTAGATATTTACAAAGTGTTACATAAACCCTTGTGTATATCGAAATATCATACGTTTCAGAAATATTTTTTTTCTGCCAATAAAAGTAAGTATCACAAGAAAAATGGCCCAAGAGTTAAGTGTGAATGTAGTTTGGAATTAATACTGATTAAAGTTTGAGGCCCTCATCTCACGCGGCCAGACGTCCTACTCAAGAATTTATTATTTACGAAAATTCTCCAATTTTCTTATTCTTTTATTTATTTAATCAGGTACTAAAAACTCATGAACAACCATTTACTTTCCATTTGAACCATAACATAATTTATCTACAAAGTCGAGAAAAAAGGTGGCCTACAAAAATATGGAGAAATTTGGCCCACACCACCTCCACCTTAAATATTTCACAATAACGAGGTTATAAAGACCAAACGGCTGAACATTTTTGTAGGCCTCCTTTTTTTTTTTTATTTTGTGATCAAATTATCTCACAATTGAAGTGAGATAAATGGTTATTTATGAGCTCTTAGTATCTCAGAAAAATGATTAATTTAATGAGAAAACGTCCCGTTTCAGAAAATTTTCATAGATAAAAAGATCGCCCCCGATTCCGAGAATTTTCTTAAATAAAAAAGTTGTAGATTACGATGAGATGAAGCTATTTGCGAAGTTTCAGGCGGATATTAAAAATTTGATAAAAGGGGTCTGTACGGACTATAGTATTTAAAATATTTGACTTTTATATCATAACGTCTATTTACAAGTTTATGCCTCACATTTCAGTATAATAAAAATCAAATTTGATTTCTGATAATTATTTATTGTACGTTTCGGAGAATCTGTGTCCCCTTCCTCAGTAATTTTTTACTCTTCCAAAAAATATTGACTTATACAAAGGGACACTCATTGCCCTAAACGTAGAATAAATAATTATCAGAAATTAATTATTATTTTTATTATACTGACCTATGAGGTATAAAATTAAGTCGGAATAGACGATAAAAAAATATGACACGTTCACTAAAAAAAATGCATATGATAGACAGACTTAATTCTAAAAATCATGGAATATTCATGTTCTTTAGTTTCATGATTCTGGCATCAACAACAATAGTTTAGGTATAAATATTATGCCTGGCAAAAGTATAAGAAATATCACGAAAATTCCGTTATGTCTTATCACTAAAAGTAGGTCTCAAAGTCTATAAATTGTTTGTTTTTTTTTAAAGAAGCAGGTCGTCTCTCTGGGACGATATCATTGGCTGGAACTGGATTAACTTGATGGAACTGTTTTTTTTTTTAAAAAAAAGGAGGAAGTCAGAAACCTGACGGCTGGAGGTCAAGGTGTACCTCATGAGACCAACTTTGTAACTGCCTAAGTATGTCAAAGCAAAGGTTAATTAATGTTTTTTAAGCACTATTACAAAGTTGTAACACACATTGTTGTTAAACTGAGTTTAGTATAATATAAAGTTAATATTTAATAATGGTATAATATCAGCGTTCCACACATCCTTACCGTTGCGTGAATGATTAAAAAAACAAGGACATATCTATATTACAAACTTATTATCGACAAGGCCTCATTGTTATATAATAATGTAATGAAATATCCATTTTGGGGCAATGTTATTACGATGAATCAGATTGGGGCGAGATCTGAAAACTGTTTTTAGAAGTTCACCCCTTAGTTAACAACAGGATCTATCAAGTTTTTCGGGCGATTTGCGAAATGTTAACAAATTATTTGCAATTGTATGAAGCTTCGCACAGTGTTTCAGAGGCGGAAAAAATCCTTAAAATGATATTATTCACATCACTCCTTTTGTACTATATTATCTTTCCTTAACACGTTTTCTAGTGAAATTTAAAATAAAAAAGATCTTTCATTATTTGATCAATTAAAAATCTGTTTGTATGAAAAGTTAAAAAAAAATTAAGATTAAAAAATTTGAAATTTCTCAACAGTTTTTTTTTCCGTGGTCGAGTGTCTATCGGATTCAAAAATATTTTATCAGTAAAATTTACTTTTTTGAGGCTAAAAGGTAATTTATTTAGTATTTGTTTTTGTTTTTCCTTTCGTCGACTCAAGACTCCCACTGAAGTCCTACACTGTTAAAATGGTTTATCTTAATTTTTACAATATGAAAACGGTATTCTAATGTTATAATAGATTTTAAAATTATTGAGGCAACGTAAAACCTTCCACTATTCTCTCCCTAATCGCATTTATTCCTAACCGAAATTGTCCGGAAATATTCGTTTAAATCGAAATATTCGTCCGGAAATTTGAAAAATAATTAAGTAAAATAAATAAAATAATAGTAACAATAAAACTACAATTCTCAACAGAGCTCAAACCTAAGCAATTTGTTTTAATAGTAATTTCAGGGAATAATCTGGTAAAAACAAAAAGTTAAGATTAAATATTAAGAATCTTTCTTTTCTTCGAAATTTTCACTCAATAACTAATGTTCCCTCGAGTTATTAGATTAATTTTTATTCTGATTTTTTTTTAAAATTAATATATAACAGTCATAATAACAAAAACGTGTAAAGCTACTTATTTATTTTTTGCTTCATTCGATTCAGAATAAGAAAATACATAGATAATTGCCACTATTTAAGCTTGGAAGTCGTATGTCTAAATTGAACGAAGTTTTTTTTTCCAAAAATAAGGCGTTTTCCACCACTGTACGTCGTACAAATCCCATATATATATATATATATATATATATATATATATATATATATATATATATATATATTTAAAAAACTCATGTTTCAGCTATCTTAGGACGCACCTTATAGAAGTACTTTATTCTGCTCATAAAAAACCATTAGGTACTTTGCACTAGCACAAACCAAGGCATTATTAATGCGTAATGACGGGTATAGCAGCAATAACAGTTGCTAGATATAAAGGAGGAAACGAAATTAGTTTGTCACTAAAATAGTCAAACTTTAAAATTGTAACTTTTATTTTTTCTACCAATGTCCAACAGGACTGTGCCCTCGCCCCACTTTGCGGTGGATGGAAATTTCGAGTTAAGCGGTTTATCTCAAAACAGTCGGCCAATTAGACTCGGAGAAAACGGGTTCTGCGTAACGTGAAACATACCTCAAATTTTCAAGGGAGGGGGAGAGTTACATCGATTACAATCATAAAATAATAAACTAAAATAAAACTTTTTAACTTTAGACAAATACGTTAATGTAAAATTGTAAAGTTTATTATAAATATTTAATTACACCTGTTCTTTATGTAATAAGTTGATGTATTACACCACCATATAACAATGTAACATCATCATTCAAAAGCGAAGGCACAACATCACCATAAGTCGAGCCCTGAGAGGCAACGGTTAAGACCTGGAACGGGGCTAACTCAACTTCCTCAGGATATGTGAGTAATTACTTGATAATCAAGTTGCGCCCTGATTGCTAATTATTTCACATGCTCGATTACAATACAAGTTCCAAAAGAGATGGTGGTTTAAACTTGAACGAGATCGGTCTGACTGTAATCTCTCTTACACCACAAACAATGTTTTAATCTCATCAAATAAAAAAGTTCTGTAAGTAAATACTAACATAAAACGGTAAGTTCTTACTTAGACATAAATGACCTATACAGTTATTTAATTAATATTGACCACTTTATAGAGGGCTAGGTGTGCCAAACGAGGGTCTCCCGACGCCAGGGTCGCTCCACGGCAGGTGAAAAATTACTTGCCTTCAGCCGCTTTCGAACCGAGGAACTTGAGCTTAGGAGCCCAGTACCTAACTCACTGAGATCCCAATACTGATTTTTAAAAATCAGAATGCATTATTAACCATAGATTCTAAACTAAAATTTCAATCAGATAAATATTTATTCGAATTACTATTTAATCGAAAAATAACTGGATAACTGAAATGATCGAATAAGCGGAATCGTGTTGATAAATAAAAAGCGGATTCTTTAATAAAAATAAAAATGAAATTTATGTCTGAAAATATTAATGTTTTCTGTAACTAGACACCGAAGGGTGATCTAAAAGTTGTTTACGTTTGTTCAACTACTTTTTAAAAATTATATTTAAAATAATAGTCCGTCGAGAATGACACATTCGTATTTATTTTACAATTACCATCAGACGATTACAGATTGTTTCGATTTTATTTTACTTATTTACGTGGGTGATAGATAGGACGTAGTCATTTTTTAAATATTTTCATTCCCAACGTTTCAACTCAAGCATGTGGGTCATAATCAAGGCATGTTTTACCAACACTTCAAGTGTTGAAAAGGTGTTTAAGTACTTGAACACCTTCAGTGCTGGTTCTCCTAAATAAACACGGAAAAAACAGGCCTATACCGGAGAAATATAATGCATTTTATAAAATCAAGGAAATCAAAACTGAGTACAAGACAACCTGGGACAGGAACTAATAATTAGTTTAATCAATGGTAAGTATAATTTTCTATTGTTTTATCTTCATGCAGAATTTAGTTAGATCTTATTATAAACATTATACTACATTAATCTAATTATATAATGATAAATGAGACTGTATTTTGCAGAAAGAATGATGTTATTCATGGTTCTTCAAGGTGTATTAATGTTTGTCTGCCAGAGTGTAGTGGACAGCAGAGGGCCACACCATCCTCATGGTTCGCCTCACTACAGGCCAACCCCTGGTTCACCAAAAATCACTATGGATGCCGATTTACTTCATGACACTGGGTAGGATGATATAAACACTTTTTATTATTTTTTGATATTTTCTAATATCTCGTATAAGAACTAAATCCAATGACAAAATATATTTAATATGATATTTGTTTATTTATCTAATAATATTATTATTGAGCAATTCTTTAAAGCATTATAACTTATATTTAGCTCATATTGGAGCATTATGTTACTTAAGTAAATACTAAGTTTAACATTATAAATATTGGCTATAAAACTGAAAATAATCTTACCTAACGTTTAATTAGTCATGTGTTATTTTTGAATATGTTGACTTATATTCTCTACTATCTTTTCAGACATATACAGGAAGATCTTGGTAAATCAGCCAACATTGAAGATTTGAACAAATTATCACCGGAAGAACTTGAATTTCAATATTTTAAGTAATTATATGCTATTTATTCTATATATTTTTTATACTATCCATATTATCCTGTCTCTGTAAATTTTTTTATTCACAATGTTTGGTAATAAAATCAATAATATTTATTTTTACTTATTTTAACCTAAAGTTTTGAAATGAGTGTCTATAGTGTCGTACTAATCTAAATTTATTAGACTTAAATTAATATAATAAAAATTACTATTACATATATTAGAGATTTATGTGTTATCACTATGTGACTTCTACAAAACAATTAATTTATATTAAAAAAAAAATTGTATTTGAAAATTAAATCAAAGATTGGATAATATGCTGATATTATTAGAAATAATCTTTTGTAAATGATAATATTTTAAGGTGGGCCAAACAAAAACTAGGACAACTACATCAGCAATCCAGATTAGCAAAGGTGTTTCCACTATGTTTCCTTTAATTTCCCTTTTTTTCCCTCAGAATGAACTTAAAAATCCCTTCTGCCAAAAATATATTCAAAATAATATGTAATTTTATATGTTACCACTCCTTTTATGTATGATTTACTCATGTTATTTTAAAAGTAGATTAAAGTCTGATCAGTTTAGGCTTTGATTGATAAAAATTGTTTTCCTTTTTTTCTCCTCTCAACCTTGAAATTTTTCTAAAAATTTTTTATTTTCATCCTGGTTAGCAATAAAAACAAAGCCCTTTCGAAAAAGAACACCTATTATTTAATATCAACCTGTCTATCTTTATTATGTTGAGGATGGTTATAAATTATTTTTGGCTCAACCAATGAAACCCTAATGTAATTCATTAACCACTAATAATTGTGGTTGCAGATATAATCATTGCACTTTATGCTGTTAAATAAGTAACTACTATTTTTATTTGCTCATTGTTTCAGAATACATGACTATGACAACAATAAATAAATAAATAAATAAAATAATCAATGATAGGAGACGCCAGAGCGTATACAGAAACCTATGCTGGGTACTAATATTAGGCTCAGTTTCGATGGAATTTTACAAAAAATATAAATTAAAAAAAAAACACGAGAGTTTTATCAGCAAAAATTTTATTCCTAAACTAATCTTCGTGGAAAATGGAAAAACTAAATTAACTTTGATGAATAATAAACTAGCCGAGGGCCTTTACAGTTACGAAGCGATTAACATAAAGATAATAGAAATGAGGAGTAAGTGGCTTCCTGCTCTAAAGGAAAGGAAACGCCAGCCATGGCCGCCAGCGGGCGCCCTTGGTGGAAGCTATTCCTACCGGCCGCTTCCGTTCAGGACTGGCTCCTGTCCTATTTATTATGACCTGTCTGGGTGATAGTGCAAGTAACAGCATGTTAACGTCGTCGGGTAAGGTCGTACCTAAGTACGTCTGACTTTCACTGCCGCAAAGCTCTGTCCTGGACCAGGAATTGATAGACGACATTTGATCTTTGCTGAATTCAGGAATCAGTAGTATTCGTTAATATGCATAATGCTAAATTTCAATACGACTCGCCGATCTAGACAATCTGTCGGGACAAGTCTAAATATTGATAGTGAATATGTTTGTGGAAAACGACATAAAACATAAGTTTATGATAGCCAAGCGTGTTAAATCGCTGCCCGCTTAAACATTCTCGAGTCTAGCGGCTTACAGAAAGGTAAGCGTATAGTAGGGTAGACTGAGTAAGGTTTTGACATTTTTCATTTGATCGTTCATAAGTTTGTTAGTATACCAATTAGCTGGAAGAAAATTGGTTTTTATTACAAAGCCTACAGTTAAGAGCACAATAAACCTGACCTACATACTGTAATCGAGGAAATGTTCAGCGTTTCATCTTGTTTATAACGAACTATTATTTATAATTTATATTTCATATTATTAATCTCGCCTTGTTGACGTGTTCACTTCTATCGTGTGATCTAAAGCACACACCGTAGTTTTTTTTTTTATTAAAAGAATTTTACTTTTAACGAACACGTTTTAATTTTCATAAATAATAAAGAATTAAAATTTTTTAAATTGCAAAATAATTATAAATCTTCTCAATTAAAACTTTTACAATATGACGAGTTTCAGTACCTTGTAAGAAGCTAACGATGTCAAATAAAAATAAGAATAAATAATGCGACTAAAAAAAATTACTTAAAGATAGAGTTTTATTTATAACTTCGCCTCAGATAACTGTAATGAAACTGAGATGATAATAAGCGAGGAAAATTGTATTTGAGAGAATAAACTAAGTAAATTAATAATCAGTGAGCAATCAATTTACAATCGCATTATATTAATTAACAACAAATATCTTAATACTATGTTGGTCATAAACTATGTAATTATATTGTAGTATTTATTTCTTAAAATATCTCAGAAACTGAAAATCAGACCTACATACTATAAGCGAGGGAAATGTTCAGTACTCCATCCTTTTTACTATGAGCTATTATTTATAATTCATCTTTCATATTATAAATCTCGCCTTGTTGATGTTTTTACATTTATGGCGTGGTCTAAAGCACACACTTTAGTTTATATTTATTTTTTCGCTTAAATTAAATGGTATGAGGTGGACAGAATCAACTTTTTGGAATAATTGGATATATTTGTTACTCGAAATACAAGCAGTTGTAAATAAAGACACGAAGATACAACAGAGGCAGCAGACAAGGAACCTGGCAACCATGCCCCTCCTACTCCTAGCGATTTCAAAAGCTCACCTTCAACTCACGAAGGGAACATTTTCCAAAACCCGAACCCTAACATTCAGCACAGACTTCCTGCTCAGATATCCCCCCACTCATCGACCAAATGCCAATCATACGTTGACTTCTTCCGAGGTCGAAACATGTCGACTTCCTCACAAGACGAAGTAATTATAAAGGCTATTGAACAAAGACAATCATTGAAGGATGATTTTTTTTTAATTAAAAAAATGGACATTAATTTAATGGGGAGATTCGTAATAGTCAGTAGGAATATAGTGGAGAATAAAAGAGAGAAAAAATAGATAGAGGGAATAGTTCGGCTAGAGAGAGGTAACTAGCGGGTCGAATTCGATAGTGGATCGCTTGCCAATTAGGACTAGCGATGGAACTACTGTTGCGTTAAGTCGGGTCAAGAACTCGACCATGAAGACTTGGATGGTATCGGATGGTCTCTTCAGCTACCATAAAGGGTGCAACCAGAGGGTATATTACCAATTTCACTCTATATACCTTCGGGAACTGATGAGTACTCTATAAGCGGTAACCTCGCCTCAAATAACGTACGGTACTTGAGGAAAAAGTTATAATAATGTGAAAATAATATAGACCATATTAAAGGTAATTTAAAGGAAGACGTATATGAACATTGGGCATTTAAGCCCTGTAAAGTGACATCAATGGGGATAAGACCTAACTGATATTAAAGACCACTTAATTATACAATGATACACCGAGTTTAATCAAAATCGTTAGAGCCGTTTTTGAGAAAATTGTGAAAATGTGTTTCGGCGTTAATATAAAGTGGCAATACCAGTTAGCCGATTTTAAGGAAAAGCTTGCTGCCACATCTAAGGCATATATCTATCTTAAATATGTAATATCAGTGTCGTAGGACTAATCGTTTTCGACCTACAGTGTTCACCACATACACACAGACCATTTTTCGGGACTTAGTTATTTGGACTCAGGGTACACCAAAACGTGTATTTCCGTTGAAAACTCAGATTCAATCTTTAAGTGTATAAAGTTTGTATTATATTAATTTTATCATTGTCACAGAACCATTTTCTTTTCTTTATTAAATATAAGAAGAATTCAATTTTTATTTTATTGAATAATACAACTAATAATAAATGTAAATATGATTACTGTTTTTGTTTTTTTTACAACACAAAACAAACTTATAGGCTTGGTTTCTAACTACTTCCAAGAAAAGTAAAAATAAATATAGGTTTTTCTTGCATTTTATATAATACATCATAAAAAAAAATTGTCTATTTGTATGTATGAATAAAAATAATTTGAAAATCTATATTAAATAACAATTATGCTACAATAGTTAAAATCATGGTTTACAAAAAAAAATCTTTCTATTATATAAAAGAGATTTTATTGACTTTCATATTTAATTTTACATCAGTATTAGGATATCAGGAGATAACAGGAGCTCGGCGATTATTTTACAAATTATACAGCTGTTCATTTAATTACACATGTACTAATATGTTATCTTATACTCTCCTAATACAAAATAAAGATTTCATATTGAAATTTTTAACGGAAAACAGTTTGTTTTTTTTATAAAAAATAATACATTCTGAACTAAACAATATATTTAAATTAAAGTTTTAAAATTTGAACAACTAGTAGTACAATTAAATGAATGGTTTTAAGCATAATTTGTAAAATTGTGATTGGTCCGATTTTCTTTTGTTTTGTTTTTTTGTAATCTTTCTGATTATCATTGGTACACTCAAGAAAAAAATGCATATTTTTTGAGTTATTCGCAAATAATGTTTCTTTTCCTTCATTAATTTTTTCCAGAAATTTCGGGTGAAGGGACTATTTCTCGCATGTGAAGGAGAAGAATATCTCCAAATGAGTGGTCAATTATTGGATTTGATGAAGAATTTACGAAGTTATGGCGTACCGACAAAAAAAAAACACCTTTTAGAAATAATATATAGGATAATAAAATGCAGAGTGAGTATTTAAATATAATTTCGGGCCAATGTATAGCCATTTCATTTCTACCGTTATGTAAAACTAAATAGACGCCAGTTCCACTCAGCCGGAGCGCCCCATAACAAGAGCGGGGGCGGGTGAAAGCGATGACATAGTTCATCGGGATGCATTCAAGAGGGCGCTTAAGGGAGAAAGTCTGCAATCATATGGCGGTGGGCCATCTACATTCAATAGCAATAATAAAAAAATATTAATAACATAATGGCGATATTCCAACCACACAACCCAGTGCCTCTTAAATTCAAGCAAAAAAACAAAATAACCCGTCAACACTTCACCAATTCACATGAATCATTATTCAGACAGAAAGAAAACAAAAGTGATCTGAACTAGGGTTTGTTTTCTTTTCTGACCTGATGGTTGAATCAGGGAGGCGTTGAAAGGTAATTTGTTCTTTACCTGCGTTTTAGAATCATTAGGCTGTGTGGTCGAAATTTTGCAATTATAATCTTAAATAGATTTTTTGTCTCTTGGCGAGTTTTTATTCATTTACATTAATTAATTATTTTGTTTATATTTATTTAAGAATGGCTAGTACTCTGGTACTTTGTACACGAAACGTCAACTGCCACCTTGATTTAACTTACATTTTTCGATAAAGCAGATTATTGGAGTTTCTGCTTTAAAAAATAGTATCATCACTTACATCTTTTTCACTTTAATTTTTATACTAATTTTACCTTTGACAAGGTTTTTAAGTGTATCTAGACATATTTTATATAAAAGCGACCAGTACAGCGAGTTGATTATTAAGTATTTCAATGAATGATAAATTAAAAAAAAAACTTTAATATATACAGTGAATGTGATACCACTCTATTGGCAAGTGTAAAGCAAAAATATATAAAAATTTTAACACTAAATCTTATTGGTCAGACAGGCACACTTAAATATCATTTTATATAGTTTCTTTCCTTTCATTCCAGAGTAATTACAAAAAAAAAAATCCCCAGCTCGCAAATGAAATCATGGATAACCTACTAATACCAGAGCAGTATAAAATACATTACAATCAATCCAAAAAATGTTTCACAAACATCTCATGAATCTAAAAAATAGAAGTAACATAAGTAATATTATTTTTGAAAAATTAATTCATTTATTTGTATCAGACTATATCTTCGATTTATTCCAAAATGCCATTAAGTAACATTTCATAAACTCTAATAATTATGAATATTAGCATTGTGAAATTAGAAAATTGGGCACTTAGTGAAATTATGGAGGCTCTGAATTTATAAATATAGTCAAAATTCAAAAAAATATATTTGAAGGTTAACCTATATCAAAAAATCCATAAGTCGACGATATACGGACTGATACTTTACATGCGCTCTTGAAGTGTATCAAGCGGCCTACAGAAGAAACAAAAGATTAATAAAATGAAAAATAAAGAAATAAAAAATTGAGATGGGTATATAGTTAACTGCTCGAATTTTAATGAAAACTTTTTTTTCTCTAATTTTTAGCACAGATGATGACCCACATGTTTGAGACGAAACTTTGAGATACTCAATGAAAATAATTTTTTACTTCACATCCTGACCATTTTTCATTCTTAAAATACACACACATATGTATATATATATAAGTTAAGGACCGGAGTGTTAGGTTTAATAGGTCAGCTGATATTAAACAACTGTTAGGTTTAATATCAGCTGTTAGCTAAAATCAGCTGTTAGATGTATATATTGAGGAGCAACGAGAAGAATAGATCAGTCTTTATACTACACTCTTGAGTGCTATTTCGGCTCTCTGACTCTCTTTTTTATTTCAGTTCTTCAATGTGAACATAAGTTATATATATATAATATTAAATATAAACAATAAAGTAATAAGTAATTAGTAGATTAATAATTCAATAACTACACATAAACGACTAAGAAACTCATATATACTGCAGAGAAATCCCGATGTCCTTCTTCCATTCCCGATGGCATAGTTACAACTTGCCCCAGCCTTGTGCTCAACAGATTGTCAAAACTGTCGCAACATATCCTTATACATTTCAAAACGTGGATCGGTTATGAAAACAGCAATGCGTAAACTGATAGCAAGATACGGTATTACCCTTAGCGAAAGTAGTTTTTAAACGTTAACACCGTTTTACACGGTCGAGTTTCACGACCAAAACTTTGTTGTAGAAATTGTAAACAAAGTACATTAGTTTTCAACCGCCATGAGGCTAATGCTCAATATTTGAGTGTTCTGAGGTCAATACTTAAGCAATCACAATGTGTATTATTTTTAAAAATAAGACACATGAATTTCGGTTATGTAAGCAAGTGTCAAGACAAATATTTAAATTCTATAGCCACTGACGTCAGAGGATATCACCACAGACAGCAATAATAGAGAAATTTAGGATACTTTATTAATATCACGTTTTATGATACTGTTCTAAACAATCATTAATGAAATTTGCTCACGAAGTTCATTTTAATATAGAAAAAAAACAAACAACCTTATTCTGGAATAAAGTCGGAGTTCAAAACCTGTACGGTTAAAAATAAGTTAAGTGAAAAGCCGCGACATGCAAGGGCTGGTTTATCCAATAAAGAAAGGTAAAATTTATTATCAGAGCCGAGTGGGTTGTAGGCGCCCATAAAGAAATTTTTACCTGGCGCTCGCTCACATCCTCCAAATTGGGCGGTAATCTATTTTCTAAAAACAAATCTCCAGCCAGCAAGTTTTTACTGTTACTGAAAAGACAAAGGTTTTTTTTTCAACATTGTTAAATAAAAGTTCTGGCATAATTTTTTTTTAATACATACATAAATGTATTAAAAAGTAGTTGATAAACTTTTACTTTTTTTCCTCTAAAATCACAAATTATAATTGAAGTTCATAATTATTACACAGTTCAGTACTCATAGTATAAAAATAGTAAATTCCGGTGATCTTGGAAAATATTGCAATTTTAACTTTGTAGAACATTATACGATGCAAGGTTTTATTTGTTAATCACGATTGTTTTATTAGAAAAGTTATTAATAAATAATATCTCGTTCCATATCTTGTAAACGTTGTAAATATTTGCTATGTTAAATGCATAGAAAAATTATTATAATGTTTTATATAACCAGAGGGTCCAGGAGAGGGTTTCAAAATTTATGAGGGGAGCACTTTTCGAAGGAATTATTAATTTTCAAAATGAAAAGTTTCAAATTAAAAGACAAGTGGAAGCATGAAACAGACCTGCAGTATGTGTAATTGTATATAATCTACGAATATTTAAATTCTACTTTCGTTTGCACTGTTTTTAAGAAGAAGAGAGGAATAAAATATCATAAGAGCGATCGAGGAAGGTTTAAGCGCCATTGACCTTGGGGGGGGGGATGGGCTCCCCTATATATAACTATATACATATCATATAGTAATTATTATATTTTCTGTTAATAAAAACGTAAAAGAATATTACTTCTTTCATTAAAACCTATTCAAGTAAATGTAGTATAAAA